ACAAAGGCATGGAGGGGACACGGGGAACATTCACTCACATTTTTAGCTAAACAGCAAGCTTTAATATTGGTCAATTATATAAGAAAAATACACAAAAAAGCATAATTTCTATGAAAAGATTCTGCAATAACAGAAAAAAAAAAAGAAATTAAGGATGCCATGCCCTTAAGAGACAACTGAAGAAAACTAAATATAACAAAAGAAAATTTATACAGCAACTGGTTAAGAAGTAAATTATAGTAAATGTGGACTGTGAAATAACAGATGAAAGGCAAGATGAAAACACAAGCATCCTACCTAAATGAATGCTTTGCATTATTAACTTAAAGAATGAATATTTTTTTTAGCCAAGTACTTCTGTGGCTCAGTTTCAGTGTCTTCATTCTTTAAACTTCCTTTAGTTGAAAGCTGTGGAGTTTTAAGAAGTCAGGCAAGCATGACTTAATAGCAAATGAGAACTGTCTTATTCAATTGTTAATTCCTTTTCTATGATCACTACTCCTCAATACAGGTATTTATGTTAAACTGGAAAGCATTTGTAGTTTATATAAAGGAGTCTAGTTTTCATTAAATTTTGTGAGGTTACTCTGGATAAGACACTAAGTTGTGTTATCAATTCGTTTTTATATTTTTATTAGGAAGGATAAACCTGAGCAGAGATTTACAAAGGGGATGAAATTAAAAATTATTACCACAGGAATGTTTTAACTAAAAGCTTTTTCCAAACATATGAAAGTGAAACACAAAGATCAACATAAAAACTCCACTAGTTTACACAAATCCACCAACTCAGTCATATTTTATTAAACTGTTTTCTTTCTTATCTTCTCAGTAAAGCAGCAATACAAAATAAATAAAAAGAATAAAATGTCAGAATGAATAAAATAAGAACATTAAGTGTTAGTATGGACTATTTTTCTATTCTCCATTTATACATTAAGAGCTAGGAACATAAATTTAGGTTAGGTTACTTACAGGTTAGAATATTACTAACATATTTTGAACTCCAATAACTCACAACAGACAAAGAAAGTCACATATTGGAGTGTTTCTATCCATTTTAAGCAACATAAGATTAATCCAGAATCTCAAATGGCTTCTAATCTCTTAATTCTGAAATATAAGTGTATTATTGCTACTGAAATAGTTGATATATGTTGCCAAAGTCAGTAGCATTATGAGAAAGTTGAGTAAAATACAAAAATATATTTTGCTTAATAAATAAAACATAGCTCTATTGGTTCTTAGAAAGAATAGGGCAGATATGTACTTTTTATAAAAAAAAATAATTCTTCTGATGAACCAAATAAAATGTCACTACTTCTTTGCTTAGAAATGTTGGTCATTAGCAGAATAAACTATTGTTGCTATTGCAAATGAAATAATTTTTGTTAACTGATTATTATATGCCACAGGAAAGCTGTTGAGTTTTTAATATTTATTTTATAAGCAGCCACTTTACTGAGGGCTCTAATTTGGTCATCATATTTTTAGTTGATTGTCTTGGGTTTCATCAAAAGATAAACATATTGCTTATAAATAATGGTAATTTGGTCTTTTCCTGTCAGTCAGTTGTAGCCCATTTGTTTTCTTTTTGCACAAGCTAGCACTTTCTGAATAATGAAAAAGAGAATAGCAGTGGGAACAAGTATCTTGATAAACCTTTAAAAAGGCCTCTAATGTATCACCATTAATTATGATATTACTAGTGGTTTGAACAGGTAGTTTCTGATAGTAAAAATATTCTTCAAGATTCAGTTTGCCAATATTTATGAAGGATTTTTGCTTCTACACCTACATTCATTAAGCTAACATTTTCTTAGTGCTTACAAAACGCCAGTCACAATTCTAAGCATTCAAAGAGTTTTAAATCATGCCGTTCTCTATAAGGTGGGTACTCATTTTACATGAAGAAACTCAAGCACAGAAGTGCTAAGTAGTTTTTTCAAGATTACACAGCTGGAAATATGGGTAAACATGAGACTTTCAATTAACTAATTTAACTTAACTAATTAGCACTTTCTTCTTATGTGTTGTTTTTTTTACCAGATTTGGACATCAAGGTTATGTTCTTTTCAGAAAATGACATTATGAAGCTGTCAATTTTAATATGCTCTGGACATTCTCTATAGCATCAGAACATTTCCTTAGAAGTTTGAATGATCAAACCCATAATCTTACCTGAGTTTAAAACTGAATTCTATTTATCATTAAACTTTAGACCTATTTTACTTTTTGTGAGTTGGCTTCTTATAGTTTTGCTATTGTTGGCATGGACTCCTGTGACATGGTTCACAAGCCCTGAGCCAATCCAGATGGGGCCATTTTACCATTTGTATGTAACAGCCTAGGGGGCACAACTAACAGCCACAGGATGGATGCTGGCCACATCAGAAAGACCAACCAGGTGTTATCAGTCAAACTGGAGACTGAGTTCACATGGGCAGTTAATCAATCAATCATACTTAGGTAATGGAGCCCCCAATAAAAACTGTGGACACTGGGGCATGTATCAGTCTCACACATCAGCACTAAAGGGTAGCCTGTCCTGACTCTATGGAGAGGAAAATGGAGGCCTCACATCTGGAACCTTCCAAGACTCTTCCCGTGCAGCTCTTCCTGTGGCTGATTTCAGTCCATATCCTGTCCATGTGATACACGATGACTGTGGTTATAATAGCTTTCAGGGGGATCTCTGTGTTCTTTTAGCAAATTACCAAGCCTGAGAGAGCTGGAGGGAATCCGCTTGAACTTGCAGTTGGTGTCAGAAGCAAAGGCAATCTTGGAGACTATTCCCTCAAATCTTGTAGTTTGGCTAACTCCCTGTTATTATTAAACTATCTTTTTAAAAGGAACAAATAATTTACTTTCTGTTTAGAACAAGAACTCTAGTTAATCATGTTTTAATATACATTTTTACCATTAAATTTCTTAAATGATATGTAGAAAACTGAGTCATAAACAGTTAATATAGAATTATATAACTATAATATAGTAATACAGAGTTAAAGACTAAGAGTATAACTGGCAGAGACATGGTTTGCTAGTTGTCCTTAATGGTTTATCAAATGTCCTTATTAAAGCATTTAATAAATTTGAAACTAGTTACCTATGTATCTCCTCTTCTAGATCCAGAATATCTTGCTAGCAAGATATTAAATTATTAATTGATATCACCTAGGCTTCGCTTAGGCCTTGCCAAATAGTACATGCTCAATATTTGTCTAATTCAATTAAATCTACATAGTGGAATTTGAAGAGTTTCAGAAAGGTCCCTCTAGCTAAAAAGATATTTTCCAGGAACCTGTCAAAGAGTTAAAATTCTACTATTCAGTTTTTTTTTTTACTAGTATGTCCAAAAGTCCACTAGCAGTAAGCAAAAATCTCTAGAAACAATTAATAGTACTTTAACAATAGATCTATTTAAATTATATGATTATTTTTTTGTTTAGTTGTTTGAAAAACAGTGAAATATATAATAAGCACCAAACATGTTTAATGGGAAAAGAACAAAAAAAGTGAGATCTACAACACAGCAAAGACAGAAATTTGATGAAGGACAGGTGGATACAGCTCCACAAGCCACGAGAGTAGGATGCAGGACAGAAACGGAGTAACATAAGAGCACTGGATACCAAAAGAGGAAAGGAATACAGGAAATACCAGGAATACGGGACTACACTACAATGTGTGAAAATTCAAGACAAGTGACCAACTTGGCAAGTTTAAGACATACCTTCATGAAATAAAGTATTTCATGTAACTAACATAATCTCTAGTAATGCAAGAATCAGAGTCCCAATGGTGTTCCCTTAGTGCACCACTTTCTCTATGTCCACATTATACTGACAACTTCTCAATAAAAAGCCCAAGTTTAAGACTGAATTCTTAAATTTTTGTATTCCTGTCTCATCACTGTATACTCCTCTTCCTCTCTCCTAGAATTTTTAAGATGTTCTACAGATTTTGTGATACTTAAATTTTATTTGATTTCATTGCAATTTTTCACAGAATATTTTTAAATATATGAAAAAATAAAATCTTAATGTTCAAGGTATATATATAATTTTAGGGCACTTGTTTAAGAGGTCAATTTAATAATTTCTAAATCATTTCCTTTGGTATTGAAAAAGAAAATGCCAGATGAGCAATGTGTTTTTATCAAAATGCATCCTTTATGAAGGTTAGATGAGCACTCATGTATATAGGAAGTTAAATATTTTATATATAACCTTGTATGTATAGATTTACATAAAAACTGTTCAAGTTACTATAACAAATTATTACTAGTCTAATTGTTTTAGAAGAGACAAAGAAAACAACTATAAAAATGGTACACATATAAATTATCAAGCTCTTATTTAGTGATGAATCTATTCTGGATTTGATATTTGTATGCAACTTTTTTAAAAAGTCTATCTTTTTTAAAAAGTCTATCATTCATCTCTATTTCAGAAAATTCTACGTTTAATTTTTAGTATCTATCACCCACAACAAATCCTAAATAAAGAATGAACAAAAAAATTAGTTGATATAGAACTTTAAAATACTAAAATACTGATGCAGGAATGAGAAACACTAGACCCCAAATCATCTACTTCAAGTTCAATATAGACTTTCAGAACAAGATTTCAGATTGATTAAACCTAGTATAAGTCCTTTGGAATTAATTACTGCATAGCATGGAAATAATATTTTTGAATAGGTAACTATGATCTCATAAAGTAAAACATATACTTTATAGAATAATGGTATAAATGTTCATCAAAGGAGAAAACCCTAAAGAAGCTGGTAAAAGATTAATCACATAGTAGAGGAGGAGAAGGGAAAAGGAAAAAAGAAAGAATAATTTTCTTTTAAGAGTTAGAGGATGGGTTTGAAGTGAGAAATAGAACCAGACAGAAAAAAAATGAACTGCATGAAGTTCCTGGAATAAGCTCAAAATGCAAGAATTTGTGCTATTTTTAAGGTGTATAGTCTTACAGTCTTAAATTGTTTACCTCATTTTCCGTTCCCACGTCCAGAAGGACAGGCAGACATTCCTGAGGATTCATTCCTCCACAAGCTGTATACAGAGCCAATTTACCCACAGGGATACCCATTCCATTACAGCCAAGATCTCCCAAGCCAAGAATACGCTCTCCATCAGTCACCACAATAGCCTAGAGGAAAAAGAAAAAATGTCTATTAATACATATTTGCAAATCCTGGGGCACAGTTCCTGGTCTCTATTTCTGAAGTTAATACTGATAAAATAAAATAGCAAGCTGTCAAAAATATAAATTGAATGTACATAGAAAAGATTTTATATTTTTGTAAGTGTGGAAGAGTATGGAGAATTAAATTTGATACATGTATCTTAAGTATTTTAATACATATATATGATTAATTTAGTTATTGAAAAAAGAAGAGAGGGTATGCACATAAAGATTCACACATTCACACCCAAATAACTCAGTCTTCAATCAAGAGGTGCAAGTCGGAAGAGGACAGGAAAATAAGAGCTCAAACTGGTAACTAAAGTGAAACTTAGAACAACTATGAAATTAGTTACATCCACTTTGATAATTATGTGAGTGTGCACAGTTAAATAACGCATATTTACTAAGTAGCCCCCAAATGTTCTCATCTCTGGTTTATTCATCTCGACACCATCCTGTTATTTTCACAACAATGTTGATCCAGCCTCTTTAACTCCTATAACCACTGGGTATTTTTCTACCATCTTTGAAGTATGCCAAGCACAGTCTGCTATTTCTCTTACATGCTAATCTTCCACTAGACTTAATGAATTTTGTTAAGCCTATTTCTAATCACCTTGAATATCTCTGAAGCATACATTGTAGTCATGTGATTTTAATCCTAGGCAATTTAAGAAAATTTTTTTGAAGTATTATTGATATACAATCTTATGTTGGTTTCAAATGTACAACACACTGGTTCAACAGTCACCCATATTATTAAATCCTCACCCCTTCTAGTGTGGTTACTATCTATTAATGTAGAAAGATGTTACAGAAACATTGACTATATTCTCCATGCTGTACTACCATCTCTGTGACCAACTTATATTGTGATTGCAAATTACTGTGCCCTTGTATCCCCCTCACCTTCCCCCACACCCACCTCAAAATCAATTCAGTGAAGGACAGATAGCCTTTTTTATAACATATGGTGCTAGAGCAACCGCCTTCCACAGGGAAAAAATAAATAAAAATAAAATAAATAATATAAAACAAAGTAAACATAAACCTAAATATCACACCTTTTACAAAAACTAACTCAAAATATATCAAGGACCTAAATGTAAATATAGAACTGCAAAACTTTTGACAAAAGCATAAGAGAAAAATCTTTGGGATCAACAGCTAAGCAAAGAGCTCCAAGACTTAATGTCAAAAATACAATACATAAGACAAATATTTTGATATATTGGCCTTTGTCAACATTTAAAAAAAAACTTTTGCTCTGTGAAAGACCCTGTTAAGAAGATGAAAAGATAAGCTAGAGTGGGAGAAAATGTTTGAAAATTACATATCTGAAAAAGGATGGATATTTATAATATATGAAGAACTCTTGAAACTCAACAGTAAAAAAAAAAAAAAAGAATAAACCATTGATATACATAAACACCTTGATGAATTGCCAGAAAGTTATACTGAGTGAAAGACAATCCCCAAAAGTTGTGTATCATATGATTCTGCTGATACATTATTCTGGAAATGACAAAATTACAGAAATGGAAAAGTTAGTAATCTCAGGGTTTAAGATGGTAATGGAGGTGGGAGAGAAGTGGGAATGGCTATAAAAGGGCAATATAATGGATGGAAATGTAGTGATCAAAATGTTCTGTACACTGAGTGCATTGATGTCAATATCCTGATATAACATTTATTATATTGTTATCACTCAGTGTAGTATACACAGGATTTCTCTCCATTACTTCTCACATCTGCATGTGAATATACAATATTTTAAAATAAAGAATTTAATTAAAAAGAAAATATATCACACACACACACAGAGGAATACTGTTCAGACTTAAAAAAGAAATCTTGTGGTTTGTGACAACTTGGATGAAACCTGAGGGCATTATGCTAAGTGAAATAAGTCAGACACAGAAAGATAAATACTGTATGATCCCACTTACATGTGGAGTTAAAAAAACCAAAGATACAAATTGGTGGCTTCCACTGATGGGGGTGGAGTGGGGGTAGTGGGGGAAATGAGTGAAGGTGATCAAAACATACAAATTTCCAGTCATAAAATAAGTAAGCCCTGGGGATGTAATACACAGCATGATTACTATAGTTAGCAATATTGTACTGTATATTTGAAGGTTGCTAACAGAGAAAATCTTAAAAGTTCTCATCACAAGAAAAAAAATTATAAGTACCTGTAGTAATAGATGATAACTAATCTTATTGTGCTAATCATCTAGCAATATACATAAATAACTGAATCACTGTTTTTTCTTGTGATGAGAACACTTCAGATCTACTTGCTTAGCAACTTTCACTTCAAGCTTTGTGGAGTTTTAATTTGCCCTAATCTTACCCACCCCACCCAACTCCAAGATAGCCTTGAAAATTAACAGATTCATAACTAGGAGATTAAAAAAAAACATAAGCCCTACCTACAGTCACTGGAAGGGACAGAACAGATTTGAAACTCCTACAAAGCCTCTACTCCAGATAATTATTATTATTTGACTTGCCTGGCATCTCATAGAAAAGCTCCATTCTCATGTCTACTCTTTATTTAACAGGACTCAGAGCTCAGTGAGACTATCTCCATTCTCATCCCAAGGGCATTTGTTGAAAACAATAAGCAGTGGTTGTTTAACACCGCAGCTGCTGGAAAACAAAAACTAAAAAATGAAAAACTGGGGAGAGAGACATCATAGAGGACTCAGAAAAGCTCCCAGCATATCCCTGAGAATCCAGAATGCCACCTACTTATGAAAGGCTATGCAAATATTTAGGAAAAGACCTGAAAATGCCCAATTTCTCTTTTCTGGCTGATTCTGAGGCTCTGTGCAAGCAGCCAAAGAAGATCAAAATAGAGTTGTGAGTTGTCTGTCTGAGGTATGCCCAACATGGAATGTAAACAGTAACAAATGAACTTGACTATATTAAAAATGAATAACATGATTATATAATGACACCAAAGGAGGTGAAGAAGAAAAGATTAAACTTAGATAACTTTGGAAACCAGTAATTTGAGTGTATACTGTCATACTATAATAAAAAGATACTGTAAATAAATATTATACTCCAGTTTTAAAATTTGTGTGTCACAGGTTATATGTAAGCAATTCTGAAATTACTTTATGTACATACTAGGACAGAGTAAACAAATAAGCACTATTATTATGGATAATAAGATCTAATTTTCTGTCAGAGAAAGGAGTTACAAATAAACTAAGGGAGATGGCTATCATGAATCCTGCAATGTGGGGCTGAATTGGAGATATTATTATGAACTCCTGATTTTTAATAATGTGGAGATGGATAGGTATAGAATTAAATATCAATGTGTGTGGTTTGTATATGTGACTATAAGCCACGTAGTGTTAAATTTTCATTTCTAAATATCAGTAAACATACTTAGGGCTACTTCAAAAAGTGGTTAAGTCTTGGACTGGAGCAGGGAAAACACAAGATAAGCCTGGAATATCACGGGATGCCAGAAAGTAAGAAGTATTTGAAAAATGACGAAGGTCTGTTGAAAGGCCACAAAAGTTAACTTGAAGGAGGTACCAGGGGCCAAATCAGGGACAATTTAAGCAGCAAACAAATAATGATAGTAACAAATTAAACCACAGACTGAAATAAATATCCATGAGTTCATACTGACATGAATAAATAATCAAATAAATAAATGGAGAAGGGGCAGCTCTTCCTTTCAGTATAAATCCAGTTAATAAGCGTAGAAGGAATGGTGGAAAAAGAAAACTTAAACACAAGAGTAGTAATTATTGCAGACAAAAATATATGTTAACATTGGTGGGTAAAAGTATAAGGGACAAAAATAGGCATAGTATAAAGTAATTCCTCACAAGACACACACATTTATTAATTTGAAAAGTAAAAATAATAGCTTTATAGAGGAGAACGCTGGCAAACCCCACATTAAGCAAGTGATCAAAGTTAATTTCACCAAGATTAGGGCATATGCATATTTTGTACCTCCTGGTATGATATACAAAGAAGGGCACTAAATTACTTCGGTGGCATTCTTGCCAAAAATGCACAATGTCAATCTAATAGCAAATATCAGAAAAACCCAAAGTGACCAACATGCTACAAAATACCTAGTCAGTACTCTTCAGTCAATAGTATTGTGCCAACAGTCTTCTTCTGGTTTCATGACTATGCTATGGTTATGTGAGATGTGAACATTAGGGGAAGCTAGGGAAGCGGGGATAGAAACTCTGTGCACCATTCTTGGAATCTTTTGGTGAAGCTAAAGTTATTTCAAAGTAAAAAGTTTAAAAGATAAAACATAAAATATGAATAAGAACAATACAAAACAAACCAGTGAAAAATAAGAAAGCAACAAAAACCAAATAGAGTAATGGAGTAAGTTATGGACTGTTTCTACAAACATACTGGAATAAGAAGCTCTACATAAATTTATGAACACTTTCTTTTTCTCCCATTCAGTAGGTTGCCTTTTCATTTTGTTGATTTCCTTTGCCATGTGGAAGATTTTTGTTTGATTTACTCCCACCTGTTCAGTTTTGCTTTTGTTGCCTTTGCTTTTAGACTGCCATAGAGGCTTACCACCTATGTTATCGTCTAGGCATTTTATGGTTTCAGGTCTTACATTCAAGTCTTTATTTCATTTTGAATTCCTTTTTGTATGTGGTGTGAAGTAGTGGTCTAGTTTCATTTTTTTGCACATGTCTATCCAGTTTTCTCAACACCATTTTTTGAAGAAACTGTTCTTCCCCCAAAGTATATTTTTGGCTCCTTTGTCATATACTTTGTCATATATGTCAACTGACCAAATACTGACAGGTTTATTTCTGGATTCTCTATTATGTGCCATTCATCTATATGCTCTGTTTTTATACAAATATCATATCATTTTGATTACTATAGCTTTATAATTTAATTTGAAACAGGGATCATGGTGCCTCCAATTTTGCTCTTTT